CTGACAAGACAGGAACCTGGTACACTATCTCTTCCAAATGGTAGTTTGAGATTCAGGTGTTTATTAATGTTCATCAACATCACTGAATAAGGTGAAAATCAGAGGTTTCCTTGAAGAATGTGATAGCTCTTCCCAAAAAAACAAAGTTTCTCAGGTTTCAAAATTAGTTTTTTAACAAACCTGGTATCAGTATTCATTTTATAAAGAATATTTGTTATTATTGTACTGAGTGCAAACTTCATTTATAACATTACATGATATTAATATGTATATGAAACTGGTTTGAGTTACCTGCCCTTGCCATGCACAAAAAAGATGTGGAAAAATGCCGGCACAAATGAGACCAAAGATTGATTTTTAAGTCCATAGATGATTGGTTGATAGTTTTCTATGTGGTCAATCCAAAACTGCTGACCTCAGGATTCAGTGGTCAATTCTTTGAATCATATGTTTTTGAAGCTTCTGTTTTTCAGCATCCTTGTGGGGAAGAAAAACACTTCTGCCTTCACTAGTGAGGTGCTAGGAGCACAAACTACTTGTACGTAGAATACAGATTCATGTTATCCAAGTATAAAAGTACAAAGATAGTAAAACTACCAAAGACTGAACACAGTCAGGCAAGTGGATGGGACCAAAGCAGCATTGGACAAAGTGGGAGCTTAGGGATGGTAACCACAGCAACCATATCAAACTAACTACAGGTATTTAGAATGTAGTCATGACAACCACATGTTGAACTACATGAATCTAGCTAAGTACTCTAAGATCTAATTCTAAGGATGATTAGTCACAGTAGCCATAGCAACCACTGATTGTTTTTAGTGGTAACCATGGCAACAAAATATCATATACAGCAAGTTGACTGAGACATAATCTGGTTGTTCTGGAGGACTTGCAGAACAAGTTGGCTTTGGCAATATTTGATAGTTTAATCAGAAAAATAAAATATACTTGTTTCAGGTAAAAGTTCCTTCATGTATCAGCAGCTAGAAACTTCAGAAACATTGATTCTCAGCACATGTGAAACATCTTTCATATAGGCATAAGTAGAACATGCAAACAAAACAAAGAAGAAATTGAGTTATGCATGATTCAAAAGAATCTTTTTGTCATTCAGTTGGACATCAAACAGAGTGAGAAGAAGCAGCAATAATATGAACAGGCAGTCTGTTTCACATTAACCTAGCAGCCTGAGTCTACTAGGGCTGGGACGAGTCCAAATTTACTACCCACGTACCCACCCCGTATTACCCGACCCTACCCGGGTACCCACTGTAGGTCTCAGGAGATGTCTCAAAATGTCCGTTTGGAAAAACGTATTTAGATACATGTATTAAACAATCTGGTCATTCATACACTGAAGTTGAACTAAGTTATATCTATATTCAACCAAATGAAAAATCAGAAGAAATGGGTACATAGTCAGAAAGAAATGCAAACATTAGTGACTTGTAGTGTAACCATAGAGTTCTAGATAATTTTTGTCATTAAACAATATATCACGTGACTAACCACGGGTCAGGGTAGTCCTGTGGGTGCCCGGGTCCTACTCAGTACCTACCCGACACAGGTACCCGTCCCAGCCCTGGAGTCTACCACCACTGAGACAGTGGGGGAACAGAAACACATAGAACCATTTAGGAACTCAGTATGGACAACACTACACAAAAATAACTCCTTGCTTCTCACTTGATGCCCGATTTCCCTGCCATGGTCAGGAATGTTGCCACAACTGCATTAACTGGTCATATCTCCTATAGAAGACTGATGGGTAAGCCGAATGACCTGCTATGTTCTTTGTATCATAAAAATCATTTGATATTTGTTTAACTATCTGCTCAACAGACTATCTACAAACTTTTACAGACATCTTGGATTAATGATGAGTATGATTATGTACCCATCAGTTCGTAAACTGACTTCAACGTTATCATACTTAATATAAAAGGAATTATTTAAAAAAGGTTTTCAGTGTCTATGCGAAGTACCATTATATATATAGTACTGTTACGTGTATCATTAAGAAGTGATTTGCTTCAGCCCTTAACCATCAATCAGAAAACGTGATTGTACACTCAAAGTCAGGCCAATAAAAAGATCAATTAAATTCTGTATCAAAACATAGAGGTAGGTGTAAAAGCTGAGAATCTGTAGGATGTACTGAGAGACCTGGGCCCCATTCTACAAGGCGACAGTAGCGCTACGACTGTTGTACGTCTATATTAAAGCATAGGAGTTACGATAGTCGCAGCACTGTGATTGCTTTGTGGAATGGGGCTCCGTCTTACTCTGGAATATAGTGAGCATTAGACAGTTGGAAAGATAAATCGTGGAGATTCTTAGAAAACAACAATGATCTTATAAGCAGTTCAGAAGCTTATACCAACAGAAACATTCACTGTTGACTGAAAGTAACCATGGTAACAGAAATATATATATGTAGGGTTTGGTTCAATGTAACAGTAACACAAGCATTATTTGATCAAATGTAACAGAAACATATATACTTTGTATTAGAGAATAAAGTGTTTTTTATCAAAGGTAAAACAGAAGCATTGTTTGATCAAATGTAACCATGGTAACAGAAACATATATATTTTTGATTAGACAACAAAGTGTTTTTCATCAAAGGTAAAACAACAGAAGCTTGGTTGGTCAAAGGTAACAGAACACAAGCATGTTTGATCAAAGGTAACAGAACACAAGCATTGTTTGATCAAAGGTAACAGAGCACAAGCAATGTTTGATCAAAGGTAACAGAACACAAGCATTGTTTGATCAAAGGTAACAGAGCACAAGCAATGTTTGATCAAAGGTAACAGAACACGAGCATTGTTTGATCACAGGTACCAGAACACAAGCATTGTTTGATCACAGGTACCAGAACACAAGCATTGTACATCAAATATTCATGGTTTATAACTTTCATTTCAAAATAATGACTTCGCTTGATGAACATAATTTCCTTTCACCAAAGCTTCAGCTTTAAGATAATACATGAAACACTTTTCTAAATGGAAGAACAAAATAGCAGTTAATATCAGATACAAAAACCCAGAGATATATCCTTTTTTAGAAATTACCTCAAGATAAATTTCTGAAATTCAGCAGTCATAAGATATGAAAAATATTTTTCATGACATGTATATCTATATGAAAACATTTTTAAACCAAGACTGAATATAAATCAATCACGTTATAACACAATCATGTAACCAGTAGCATAATTTCACATGTAGGTAGTCTTACAAAGGGGACACAAGGCTGGAATATTCAAACAGTCCTGACTGAAGAACATTCACAATCTCAGAATATCCAAGCTCTTTTCCATAAACAAGGGTAGGAGGTATGAGAGGTACACTGACAGAATACCCAATACCCACCATGTTTCCGTACACAAGGGTAGGAGGTATGAGAGGTACACTGACAGAATACCCAATACCCACCGTGTTTCCATACACAAGGGTAGGAGGTATGAGAGGTACACTGACAGAATACCCAATACCCACCATGTTTCCATACACAAGGGTAGGAGGTATGAGAGGTACACTGACAGAATACCCAATACCCACCATGTTTCCATACACAAGGGTAGGAGGTATGAGAGGTACACTGACAGAATACCCAATACCCACCATGTTTCCATACACAAGGGTAGGAGGTATGAGAGGTACACTGACAGAATACCCAATACCCACCATGTTTCCATACACAAGGGTAGGAGGTATGAGAGGTACACTGACAGAATACCCAATACCCACCATGTTTCCATACACAAGGGTAGGAGGTATGAGAGGTACACTGACAGAATACCCAATACCCACCATGTTTCCATACACAAGGGTAGGAGGTATGAGAGGTACACTGACAGAATACCCAATACCCACCATGTTTCCATACACAAGGGTAGGAGGTATGAGAGGTACACTGACAGAATATCCAATACCCACCGTGTTTCCGTACACAAGGGTAGGAGGTATGAGAGGTACACTGACAGAATACCCAATACCCACCATGTTTCCATACACAAGGGTAGGAGGTATGAGAGGTACACTGACAGAATACCCAATACCCACCATGTTTCCATACACAAGGGTAGGAGGTATGAGAGGTACACTGACAGAATACCCAATACCCACCGTGTTTCCGTACACAAGGGTAGGAGGTATGAGAGGTACACTGACAGAATACCCAATACCCACCGTGTTTCCATACACAAGGGTAGGAGGTATGAGAAGTACACTGACAGAATACCCAATACCCACCATGTTTCCATACACAAGGGTAGGAGGTATGAGAGGTACACTGACAGAATACCCAATACCCACCATGTTTCCATACACAAGGGTAGGAGGTATGAGAAGTACACTGACAGAATACCCAATACCCACCATGTTTACTTAATGCCTTAGTGTTAAAACACAAAACATTCAAAAGCAAAATTAATATCAGCCACAAAGTTTCTTGATGTTGAAAATAATCTCACAAAAGAAACCATTAATAAATAAAGTGACACTTCATGGGCCCAGCCTCACAGTATTCTTCTGGGGGTGGCCTGTGACTTTTGTTGACAATTTTTTGGACCCGCATCACATTATTTTTCATGACATTCAGTGAATGATATACATTTTTTTTTAAAACCCGAGGACAAGTTAAGTTTATCCAGCATTTTGGGGAAGAGGTTACTTCCTTTAAATTCCATTCCCAAGAGCATAAAATGGTTAACCCCACAATGAACAACTGTTTGGATTAATTTGATATCTAGAAAAGGGACCTCTGTGTGAATGCCTTTATATCAAGTCAGTTTAGTCCATCAGACATAATGCAATTTTGTAATAAATAATAACACTGCAATATCTCAAAAATAATTGTTTTAAAACGGTGATGAGTATTAGATAAACTGTAGTCTTACTACAAGTCTCAAGATGAACTCAACACGCAGGTGTTGCTTAGCAGTAAACACTATCATCTAACTAAACGTCCAACTAAACAGGAAACTGAGAGTATTCAAGCTCTGGTGAAACCAGTTCAATAGCATTGAGTGCAACACATTCACAGACAGTGACACAGTGTCAAAACTAAACCTATCTTGACTCGTATACCCTCTCTCCCCGACTTCACTTGACGTGCTCAATGATGAAACGCAGGAAGCGGTCACCATACTCGCCAGGGGGGACAGTGGAGTGGTCAGCACAGCAGTATTTGATGTTCTTGTAGATCCGCCCGGTCCTCTGTCGATACTCGTACAGTGTGAAGAAGTCGATTACACCAAGGAAGTAACGGTGGGTGGGACCGTCGATGATGTGTAAGGCGTTCTTGCAGTTGGGCAGGAGACGGCGGTTTTCGGTCGTCATCAGCCCGTCAAGATACGATGTTTCTGTCAGAGAGAGAGGAAAGAATACACCGGTCTTACGTTCTGGGGATTTTTCTGCAACGCTGGTTTTGGTGTCATCATTTGGTGTTCCTGGAAGAGAGTGCATCTCAATGCCACCACCCTCGACGTTCCCATTGTGATGTTCGGGGGAGCTGTTGTCGGATGAGGAGGAGGCTGTCGATGGGAGCGATCTGGTAAAAGAATAATTAGTGTTAAATGCAAAATTGCAATGACAAAAAAACACATCTGAAATGTTCTACAGTGATTCCTGGAAATGGTGTTATGGTCCAGACAATACAAAAGCAAAACTTGCCCCACTTTAAAGCATATTCTGGGTGAGATTTTTAGTGAAATCTCTATCCAAAATATTGGAAAGGGTGTTTTAAATATTTGTTATGATTTGTGTCGTGTGTGAGTACAGTATGGTACAGTACAGTATGGCATCATTAAGAGTTTCCGTAAGTTGTATCCTGTTCAAATCTATCGGATCTCTCACTCCAACTCTCTGTCAAGGTCTGACAAACCCTCCATAGGGTTAATGACCAGTAATCTTTGAGCAATCTTTGACCAGCCAATCAAAGTTTAGGATGTGTGGGGTTTTGAGCAAGTCAGCTTCATTAAAGGATTTCAAGGACTAGTGCATGTCTCACTTCTTCAGCCTCTCCACCAGGTTCGGGAGTGTTTCCCGGCGCTCGTCGGTGTGCAGCTCCTGTCGACCAATCAGGAGGCTGTAATCCTGAACTGCCATTTCCTTCAAGAACTCAGTGTCTGCTTTAAGCTGGGTGATGAACCATTCCCTCTGTGGTCCTGTAACCATGGTAACATTTGGGACTCATATACATTCAATTTGTACATGTTTGTAATACATTACAATACTAGCTTCTGATTGGTTAAGGAGCGGGTAATATTTTCCATGTAGCCTGCTCATGTACCCCACAGAGAAATCAACCTGAACACATCATAGGTTACTTGCATATCTCACATAAACTTGAACTGATATGAACTGGTGATTATCCGAATGCATTGGGTAAAGGGAAATAACTTGGTTTAAAGCGTTTTACTCAGTGAATCTTCAGACAATTATTCCAGGTCTGTATGAATGAATGTCTGTGAGATAAATTTGTTGTCAGTGAGATAAATTTGTTGTCAGTGAGATAACTTTGTTGTCACTGAGATAAATTTGTTGTCAGTGAGTAATTTGTTGACAGCTTCAGGTACATTGGCTCACATACAGGGTACATCACACCACATACCCCTCGAGATCAGTTGACAGCTCATAATACAATTAATGTGACATATTCATTCAGTTCATTGACTGTATTTTTGTGTGAGGACGTTTTGACTTTTATTGTGGAGACCCCTTATGACTTTTAGGCCGTTGACCTGCTCCCTGGTAACCTATTGTAACCCAGACTGTGTAGATACAACCATGGTACTTACCCAAGTCAATGACTTCATTGAGAAAATTCTGGTCCTTGAGCACCGTGACAATGTTGCTGCCTGGGGGGTATGGCTGAAACAACAATGTTACCATGGAAACAGCATCTTAGTGCCATGTGTTTAGCGATTGAGATGTCTGTAGCATGTTTGAGATATCTGTAGCATGTTTGACTAATCTGTAGCATGTTTGAGATATCTGTAGCATGTCTGAGATATCTGTAGCATGTTTGAGATATCTGTAGCATGTTTGAGTTATCTGTAGCATGTTGGAGATATCTGTAGCATGTTTGAGTTATCTGTAGCATGTTGGATATATCTGTAGCATGTTTGAGTTATCTGTAGCATGTTGGAGATATCTGAAGCATCTTGGAGATATCTGTAGCATGTATATCACATGATTCGTTTTCCTTTCAATTCTGCCTCTCCTGTGTGGTGTCATGAGTCGTAATTTCTTAAATGGTTTGTTAAAGTGTGGATCTAGGGACAGATGGCAAAGTGCTGGATACTGCGAGATGTGTTCACTGCCTGGGATTGTCTCCCCTGCTATCCCGACTCCCCATAAATACTTCACCCTCCTAATTCCCCTCCCAACACAGGCTCTACCCACCGGTCATCCATAAATCCATCAACCACCATCCCCACCTCTCTACCATACCATCCACACAACCCACCTCAACACGCAACACCCAAACCCCTCAACATTGTCCATACAGACTCTACCCCTGTCACCCTCCAATATTTCATTGGGATAGCACAATAAAACAGGCATCAAGCCGGACCAGGACAAGCACATGCACATGTTGCTATAAGTGAAATAGTCTTGAGTCTGGGGAGGTCCTACCATCACAGACGAGACAAGGGCCTACCTGTTGGTATCGGCCAGCCAGAGCTCCCTTAATGTCGAATCTAGTCTCAATACGATGACTGGGGTAAAATATACTCTGCATGACCACAAAGTATTTCTGTAACAAAACATATTGGCAGAAAACTTTATCATAATATGCAGATGAAAAAAACAACAATTCTTTGTAATGCTGGTAGTTTTGTCTACTACATTGATGGCAACCAATGTGAAAGACGAAGAAGTAAGAAATATGAAGGTCGACAAAAAAAGTATTAAATGTGAAAATTAAGCCACAAGGCTCTGTAGCTCACCTGAATCATGAAGCAATAATGTTTAAAGTAGGATTATAATTCTGTGTGCACTTTTTAGAGACACCATAATCCTCGATAGCTGAGATCATTTACACCAACTTTCAGCTCCACAGGTCTTGTAGTTTCAGAGGTGCTGTTAAATATGCAACAACACAAGAAACATAGACCCACGGCACTGTAGCGCACCTGAAAATGTAGTCAACAGTCTAAAATCTTCACAGAGATCCAGTGTTACCGATGGCATTTTTATCTGACGGTCATGTGGGCTGGTAGCATACAAAAATACTGGCCCTGGCTACAATAAACCGGACCCATGATCACTGTTAAAAAAGACTGTGTACGACCCTATTTCGGAACAGCCATATTTGTTTGTCGAGATCCGGGGTAGAATAGGTCTTCAGCCACTCATGCTTGCTGTAAGAGGCAACTATGCTTGTCGTAAGAGGCGACTAACGGGATCCGTTGGTCAGGTTCACTGACTTGGTTGATGCATTGTACCCCAACTGCGTGGTTCGATGTTCATGATGACAAACATGAACTTTGTCTGGTCCAGACACGATTATTTACAGACCACCATCATATAGCTGGAATATTGGTGAGTGTGGCGTTAAACAACAAACAAACAAACAAACAAGATAGTCATTCGTTGTGAGATGTGTGATGTTATCAAAGCTGCCGACTTGACAGTGCACCCATCTGACTTGTTAACATTTGGCTTATAAGAAGTAGTGTACACCTGCCATGTTTTGAGACCGATCACAATTGTGTGTGCAAACTTAACAGAAACCATAGCAGGGATCATTCATGCAAAGTTTCAGTTTCATAGGACTTGTAGTTTTAGAGAAGATGTTAAAATTGTAAAAGTGAACGATGGTCGTACAATGCTCACTTGACAATCCCTTATTTCTTATAATTATATTACGTTCATCGTGTAAATTCATAACCTAGAGATTTATTTGAGACAAGTCCCCTTTTTTATGAGGACAGATATATTTAGTATTTGATCTTTGCTACTTCACTCTACTAGTTATTTTATGAAAATATTTTGATTTGAGATGAAAATTTGTAGAACAATGTAACTCTAGGTAGTTGCCACACTGAAACGCATAGCATGAATCTGGAATGTCTGGCCTTATTTCCATGGTAAAATTATTTTCAGTTGAGAGATATTAAATCTAGGTGCAAAATAATCATCAGGTATTTATAACAAGCTCAATTTATGGAACCAAATCCAGGTAACTCACAAACCGCCAGTCAGTCAAATGCTTCCCATGACCTTGGCAATAAGGTCATGGTCAAGATTACCAATTGGGGCCTGCAAACACACATTGGCACTAAATGCATGAAGAAGTTCTGAAGATAACTTACAATTAGCTAACATGCTGGTTTAGAAGTACATATACAAAGTCATTGAGAGAATTCTGAAAATTCATCTAATCATAAACTCTGGGATTTCGTGCTCAGGCCATTATTCTTATATTCATCGGATCACATATGCTTTGCGAACTATTCAAATGTGTGCAAAATGTCAGCTTTTCTCAGAAGTTCAATTCGGCAAGGTCTGTTTATGAAAAAAACAAGAAACAGCCATAACTGATGAACTCAGTACAATATGATAGGGTGATCAGATCTGTTGATGAGAACAAATATGAAATCTGTAGTACAGCAGCAGTGCCACTACCCACCTTCCTCTCGCCCGGCATCTGTATGGAGTATAAGCCCAGGTACTTGACGATAAGGGAGTGGGGGAACTTCAGGAAGTGCTGCAGGTAGTCACTGAAACACACAGCAACAGCTCCATGTAGTGACTATAGGGGACAGATACAGATGCAGTTAGTAAGTCTCGATGGAGACGAGGAAGTAGACTTACCCCAATGTGGACAGGAAGAGGTAGTTGTGACAGAATGCACTGAGGAGACTTACCCCAATGTGGACAGGACGAGGTTGTTGTGACAGAATGCACTGAGGAGACTTACCCCAATGTGGACAGGAAGAAGTAGTTGTGACAGAATGCACTGAGGAGACTTACCCCAATGTGGACAGGAAGAGGTTGTTGTGACAGAAGGCACTGAGGAGACTTACCCCAATGTGGACAGGAAGAAGTAGTTGTGACAGAATGCACTGAGGAGACTTACCCCAATGTGGACAGGAAGAGGTAGTTGTGACAGAATGCACTGAGGAGACGTACCCCAATGTGGACAGGCAGAGGTAGTTGTGACAGAATGCACTGAGGAGACTTACCCCAATGTGGACAGGAAGAGGTTGTTGTGACAGAATGCACTGAGGAGACTTACCCCAATGTGGACAGGAAGAGGTAGTTGTGACAGAATGCACTGAGGAGACTTACCCCAATGTGGACAGGAAGAAGTAGTTGTGACAGAATGCACTGAGGAGACTTACCCCAATGTGGACAGGAAGAGGTAGTTGTGACAGAATGCACTGAGGAGACGTACCCCAATGTGGACAGGCAGAGGTAGTTGTGACAGAATGCACTGAGGAGACTTACCCCAATGTGGACAGGAAGAGGTAGTTGTGACAGAATGCACTGAGGAGACTTACCCCAATGTGGACAGGAAGAAGTAGTTGTGACAGAATGCACTGAGGAATGGTACCCCAATGTGGACAGGAAGAGGTTGTTGTGACAGAATGCACTGAGGAGTTGTACCCGAATGTGGACAGGAAGAGGTTGTTGTGACAGAATGCACTGAGGAATGGTACCCCAATGTGGACAGGAAGAAGTGGTTGTGACAGAAGGCACTGAGGAGACTTACCCCAATGTGGACAGGAAGAGGTTGTTGTGACAGAATGCACTGAGGAGACTTACCCCAATGTGGACAGGAAGAGGTAGTTGTGACAGAATGCACTGAGGAATGGTACCCCAATGTGGACAGGAAGAGGTAGTTGTGACAGAATGCACTGAGGAATGGTACCCCAATGTGGACAGGAAGAGGTAGTTGTGACAGAATGCACTGAGGAGACTTACCCCAATGTGGACAGGAAGAAGTAGTTGTGACAGAATGCACTGAGGAGACTTACCCCAATGTGGACAGGAAGAGGTAGTTGTGACAGAATGCACTGAGGAGACGTACCCCAATGTGGACAGGCAGAGGTAGTTGTGACAGAATGCACTGAGGAGACTTACCCCAATGTGGACAGGAAGAGGTAGTTGTGACAGAATGCACTGAGGAGACTTACCCCAATGTGGACAGGAAGAAGTAGTTGTGACAGAATGCACTGAGGAATGGTACCCCAATGTGGACAGGAAGAGGTAGTTGTGACAGAATGCACTGAGGAGACTTACCCCAATGTGGACAGGAAGAGGTAGTTGTGACAGAATGCACTGAGGAGACTTACCCCAATGTGGACAGGAAGAGGTTGTTGTGACAGAATGCACTGAGGAGTTGTACCCGAATGTGGACAGGAAGAGGTTGTTGTGACAGAATGCACTGAGGAATGGTACCCCAATGTGGACAGGAAGAAGTGGTTGTGACAGAAGGCACTGAGGAGACTTACCCCAATGTGGACAGGAAGAGGTTGTTTTGACAGAATGCACTGAGGAGACTTACCCCAATGTGGACAGGAAGAGGTAGTTGTGACAGAATGCACTGAGGAATGGTACCCCAATGTGGACAGGAAGAGGTAGTTATGACAGAATGCACTGAGGAATGGTACCCCAATGTGGACAGGAAGAGGTAGTTGTGACAGAATGCACTGAGGAGTTGAACCCCAATGTGGACAGGAAGAAGTAGTTGTGACAGAATGCACTGAGGAGACTTACCCCAAAGTGGACAGGAAGAGGTTGTTGTGACAGAAGGCACTGAGGAGACTTACCCCAATGTGGACAGGAAGTGGTTGTTGTGACAGAATGCACTGAGGAGACTTACCCCAATGTGGACAGGAAGAGGTTGTTGTGACAGAAGGCACTGAGGAGACTTACCCCAATGTGGACAGGAAGTGGTTGTTGTGACAGAATGCACTGAGGAGACTTACCCCAATGTGGACAGGAAGAAGTAGTTGTGACAGAATGCACTGAGGAGACTTACCCCAATGTGGACAGGAAGAGGTAGTTGTGACAGAATGCACTGAGGAGACTTACCCCAATGTGGACAGGAAGAGGTTGTTGTGACAGAAGGCACTGAGGAGACTTACCCCAATGTGGACAGGAAGAGGTAGTTGTGACAGAATGCACTGAGGAGACTTACCCCAATGTGGACAGGAAGAGGTTGTTGTGACAGAATGCACTGAGGAGACTTACCCCAATGTGGACAGGAAGAGGTTGTTGTGACAGAATGCACTGAGGAGACTTACCCCAATGTGGACAGGAAGAAGTAGTTGTGACAGAATGCACTGAGGAATGGTACCCCAATGTGGACAGGAAGAGGTAGTTGTGACAGAATGCACTGAGGAGACTTACCCCAATGTGGACAGGAAGAGGTTGTTGTGACAGAATGCACTGAGGAGACTTACCCCAATGTGGACAGGAAGAGGTAGTTGTGACAGAATGCACTGAGGAGACTTACCCCAATGTGGACAGGAAGAAGTAGTTGTGACAGAATGCACTGAGGAGACTTACCCCAATGTGGACAGGAAGAGGTAGTTGTGACAGAATGCACTGAGGAGACGTACCCCAATGTGGACAGGCAGAGGTAGTTGTGACAGAATGCACTGAGGAGACTTACCCCAATGTGGACAGGAAGAGGTAGTTGTGACAGAATGCACTGAGGAGACTTACCCCAATGTGGACAGGAAGAAGTAGTTGTGACAGAATGCACTGAGGAATGGTACCCCAATGTGGACAGGAAGAGGTTGTTGTGACAGAATGCACTGAGGAGTTGTACCCGAATGTGGACAGGAAGAGGTTGTTGTGACAGAATGCACTGAGGAATGGTACCCCAATGTGGACAGGAAGAAGTGGTTGTGACAGAAGGCACTGAGGAGACTTACCCCAATGTGGACAGGAAGAGGTTGTTGTGACAGAATGCACTGAGGAGACTTACCCCAATGTGGACAGGAAGAGGTAGTTGTGACAGAATGCACTGAGGAATGGTACCCCAATGTGGACAGGAAGAGGTAGTTGTGACAGAATGCACTGAGGAATGGTACCCCAATGTGGACAGGAAGAGGTAGTTGTGACAGAATGCACTGAGGAGTTGAACCCCAATGTGGACAGGAAGAAGTAGTTGTGACAGAATGCACTGAGGAGACTTACCCCAATGTGGACAGGAAGAGGTAGTTGTGACAGAATGCACTGAGGAGACGTACCCCAATGTGGACAGGCAGAGGTAGTTGTGACAGAATGCACTGAGGAGACTTACCCCAATGTGGACAGGCAGAGGTAGTTGTGACAGAATGCACTGAGGAGACTTACCCCAATGTGGACAGGAAGAGGTAGTTGTGACAGAATGCACTGAGGAGACTTACCCCAATGTGGACAGGAAGAAGTAGTTGTGACAGAATGCACTGAGGAATGGTACCCCAATGTGGACAGGAAGAGGTAGTTGTGACAGAATGCACTGAGGAGACTTACCCCAATGTGGACAGGAAGAGGTAGTTGTGACAGAATGCACTGAGGAGACTTACCCCAATGTGGACAGGAAGAGGTTGTTGTGACAGAATGCACTGAGGAGTTGTACCCGAATGTGGACAGGAAGAGGTTGTTGTGACAGAATGCACTGAGGAATGGTACCCCAATGTGGACAGGAAGAAGTGGTTGTGACAGAAGGCACTGAGGAGACTTACCCCAATGTGGACAGGAAGAGGTTGTTTTGACAGAATGCACTGAGGAGACTTACCCCAATGTGGACAGGAAGAGGTAGTTGTGACAGAATGCACTGAGGAATGGTACCCCAATGTGGACAGGAAGAGGTAGTTGTGACAGAATGCACTGAGGAATGGTACCCCAATGTGGACAGGAAGAGGTAGTTGTGACAGAATGCACTGAGGAGTTGAACCCCAATGTGGACAGGAAGAAGTAGTTGTGACAGAATGCACTGAGGAGACTTACCCCAAAGTGGACAGGAAGAGGTTGTTGTGACAGAAGGCACTGAGGAGACTTACCCCAATGTGGACAGGAAGTGGTTGTTGTGACAGAATGCACTGAGGAGACTTACCCCAATGTGGACAGGAAGAGGTTGTTGTGACAGAAGGCACTGAGGAGACTTACCCCAATGTGGACAGGAAGTGGTTGTTGTGACAGAATGCACTGAGGAGACTTACCCCAATGTGGACAGGAAGAAGTAGTTGTGACAGAATGCACTGAGGAGACTTACCCCAATGTGGACAGGAAGAGGTAGTTGTGACAGAATGCACTGAGGAGACTTACCCCAATGTGGACAGGAAGAGGTTGTTGTGACAGAAGGCACTGAGGAGACTTACCCCAATGTGGACAGGAAGAGGTAGTTGTGACAGAATGCACTGAGGAGACTTACCCCAATGTGGACAGGAAGAGGTTGTTGTGACAGAATGCACTGAGGAGACTTACCCCAATGTGGACAGGAAGAGGTTGTTGTGACAGAATGCACTGAGGAGACTTACCCCAATGTGGACAGGAAGAAGTAGTTGTGACAGAATGCACTGAGGAATGGTACCCCAATGTGGACAGGAAGAGGTAGTTGTGACAGAATGCACTGAGGAGACTTACCCCAATGTGGACAGGAAGAGGTTGTTGTGACAGAATGCACTGAGGAGACTTACCCCAATGTGGACAGGAAGAGGTAGTTGTGACAGAATGCACTGAGGAGACTTACCCCAATGTGGACAGGAAGAAGTAGTTGTGACAGAATGCACTGAGGAGACTTACCCCAATGTGGACAGGAAGAGGTAGTTGTGACAGAATGCACTGAGGAGACGTACCCCAATGTGGACAGGCAGAGGTAGTTGTGACAGAATGCACTGAGGAGACTTACCCCAATGTGGACAGGAAGAGGTAGTTGTGACAGAATGCACTGAGGAGACTTACCCCAATGTGGACAGGAAGAAGTAGTTGTGACAGAATGCACTGAGGAATGGTACCCCAATGTGGACAGGAAGAGGTTGTTGTGACAGAATGCACTGAGGAGTTGTACCCGAATGTGGACAGGAAGAGGTTGTTGTGACAGAATGCACTGAGGAATGGTACCCCAATGTGGACAGGAAGAAGTGGTTGTGACAGAAGGCACTGAGGAGACTTACCCCAATGTGGACAGGAAGAGGTTGTTGTGACAGAATGCACTGAGGAGACTTACCCCAATGTGGACAGGAAGAGGTAGTTGTGACAGAATGCACTGAGGAATGGTACCCCAATGTGGACAGGAAGAGGTAGTTGTGACAGAATGCACTGAGGAATGGTACCCCAATGTGGACAGGAAGAGGTAGTTGTGACAGAATGCACTGAGGAGTTGAACCCCAATGTGGACAGGAAGAAGTAGTTGTGACAGAATGCACTGAGGAGACTTACCCCAATGTGGACAGGAAGAGGTAGTTGTGACAGAATGCACTGAGGAGACGTACCCCAATGTGGACAGGCAGAGGTAGTTGTGACAGAATGCACTGAGGAGACTTACCCCAATGTGGACAGGAAGAGGTAGTTGTGACAGAATGCACTGAGGAGACTTACCCCAATGTGGACAGGAAGAAGTAGTTGTGACAGAATGCACTGAGGAATGGTACCCCAATGTGGACAGGAAGAGGTAGTTGTGACAGAATGCACTGAGGAGACTTACCCCAATGTGGACAGGAAGAGGTAGTTGTGACAGAATGCACTGAGGAGACTTACCCCAATGTGGACAGGAAGAGGTTGTTGTGACAGAATGCACTGAGGAGTTGTACCCGAATGTGGACAGGAAGAGGTTGTTGTGACAGAATGCACTGAGGAATGGTACCCCAATGTGGACAGGAAGAAGTGGTTGTGACAGAAGGCACTGAGGAGACTTACCCCAATGTGGACAGGAAGAGGTTGTTTTGACAGAATGCACTGAGGAGACTTACCCCAATGTGGACAGGAAGAGGTAGTTGTGACAGAATGCACTGAGGAATGGTACCCCAATGTGGACAGGAAGAGGTAGTTGTGACAGAATGCACTGAGGAATGGTACCCCAATGTGGACAGGAAGAGGTAGTTGTGACAGAATGCACTGAGGAGTTGAACCCCAATGTGGACAGGAAGAAGTAGTTGTGACAGAATGCACTGAGGAGACTTACCCCAAAGTGGACAGGAAGAGGTTGTTGTGACAGAAGGCACTGAGGAGACTTACCCCAATGAGGACAGGAAGTGGTTGTTGTGACAGAATGCACTGAGGAGACTTACCCCAATGTGGACAGGAAGAGGTTGTTGTGACAGAAGGCACTGAGGAGACTTACCCCAATGTGGACAGGAAGTGGTTGTTGTGACAGAATGCACTGAGGAGACTTACCCCAATGTGGACAGGAAGAAGTAGTTGTGACAGAATGCACTGAGGAGACTTACCCCAATGTGGACAGGAAGAGGTTGTTGTGACAGAATGCACTGAGGAGACTTACCCCAATGTGGACAGGAAGAGGTTGTTGTGACAGAAGGCACTGAGGAGACTTACCCCAATGTGGACAGGAAGAGGTAGTTGTGACAGAATGCACTGAGGAGACTTACCCCAATGTGGACAGGAAGAGGTTGTTGTGACAGAATGCACTGAGGAGACTTACCCCAATGTGGACAGGAAGAGGTTGTTGTGACAGAATGCACTGAGGAGACTTACCCCAATGTGGACAGGAAGAAGTAGTTGTGACAGAATGCACTGAGGAATGGTACCCCAATGTGGACAGGAAGAGGTAGTTGTGACAGAATGCACTGAGGAGTTGTACCCCAATGTGGACAGGAAGAAGTAGTTGTGACAGAAAGCACTGAGGAGACTTACCCCAATGTGGACAGGAAGAGGTTGTTGTGACAGAATGCACTGAGGAGATTAACCCCAATGTAGACAGGAAGAAGTAGTTGTGACAGAATGCACTGAGGAGACTTACCCCAATGTGGACAGGAAGAGGTTGTTGTGACAGAATGCACTGAGGAGACGTACCCCAATGTGGACAGGAAGAAGTAGTTGTGACAGAATGCACTGAGGAGACTTACCCCAATGTGGACAGGAAGAAGTCGATGCAATATTTTCGATCAGTCTTCAGTAAGTACTGCTGATCATTGCTGTGGAGATAAAAGTTAGACATATATTTCAGCGGTATATGGTTATATAACAGGCTGGAAAAGTTAGCTACACACTTGACCAGCGTTCAGAGATCTGCTTATTCAGTAAAATGAAATTGAGAAATTAGATATTATAATGTTCTTTTTACTGTTTATTCATTTGCCAGGTGAGCAAGGAAAAACATAGGTTTCTAAATGCACGCATTTCCTGCCCACCTGAGGAAGAAGTCCTGTCCACTCTTGGAGTTGCTGACAAACTCCAGATATGGCAGTTTGGCCGGAGCAACAGACTCCAGGTAGAAGTCTTGTCGCAGACCGATGGCGCGGCGGATAGCTGCAAATGCTGAGCTGGCGTAACTGGCAAACACAAATACCTGTTGAGGAGAGTAGAAACAAATTACTGGTTTGCCATGAAAAACTCACCATAATTTGTCACAACTGAATTCTACCTGCCCATATTTTGATATTACTCATCTATTTAACATTTACCCATATTTATCCAGTATTATAAATCTTCAGTCTCTTCTGATATATACCCTGGCCTTTCTCCACCATATCGCCAGTCTATTCTCATATATATACCCTGGCCTTTCTCCATCATATCTCCAGTCTAATCTGATATATATACCCTGGCCATTCTCCACCATATCTCCAGTCTATTCTCATATATACCAAGGCCATTCACCCCTATATCTCCAGTCTATTCTGATATATCTACCCTGGGCCATTCTCCACCATATCTCCAGTCTATTTCTTATATATACCAAGGCCATTCACCCCTATATCTCCAGTCTATTCTGATATATATACCCTGGCCATTCTCCACCATATCTCCAGTCTATTCTCATATATACCAAGGCCATTCACCCCTATATCTCCAGTCTATTCTGATATATATATACCCTGGCCATTCTCCACCATATCTCCAGTCTATTCTCATATATACCAAGGCCATTCACCCCTATATCTCCAGTCTATTCTGATATATCTACCCTGGGCCATTCTCCACCATATCTCCAGGCTATTCTGATATATACCCTGGCCCATTCTCCAGCATATTTCCAGTCTATTCTGATATATACCCAGGCCATTCTCCACCATGTCTCCAGTCTAATCTGATATATTATCTGGGCCATTCACCCCTATATCTCCAGTCTATTCTGATATATACCCTGGCCATTCTCCACCATGTCTCCAGTCTATTCTGATATATATACCCAGGCCATTCTCCACCATGTCTCCAGTCTAATCTGATATATTATCTGGGCCATTCACCCCTATATCTCCAGGCTATTCTGATATATACCCAGGCCATTCTCCACCATGTCTCCAGTCTAATCTGATATATTATCTGGGCCATTCACCCCTATATCTCCAGTCTAATCTGATATATCATCTGGGCCATTCACCCCTATATTTCCAGTCTATTCTGATATATTACCCCAGCCATTCACCCCTATATCTCCAGTCTATTCTGATATATTACCCCGGCCATTCACCCCTATATCTCCAGTCTATTCTGATATATTACCCCGGCCATTCACCCCTATATCTCCAGTCTATTCTGATATATTACCCCGGCCATTCACCCCTATATTTCCAGTCTATTCCGATATATTACCCCGGCCATTCACCCCTATATTTCCAGTCTATTCTGATATATTACCTGGGCCATTCACCCCTATATCTCCAGTCTATTCTGATATATACCCTGGGCCCATTCTCCACCAAAGCTTCATTTCAGAAATGAATTCCCAGCTCAATCTCTTGGATCACAATGTCTCTTGCCTATTAGCTTGAAATCAACAACCTATCAAAATGAACTGTCTGAAAGCGAGTTAGTATAGATCCACATTCAAAAGTCTCAGCGAACCATCGACATAAAATCAAATGAGAAGACAGTAATAATTGAACATTTTCCCCGGAAAAGATGTTTCCTGAGTGTTAAAACGGTGGAAGGACGTCATTATGCTTCGACGCGTTCCATTTGTGTTGGAAACAGCCAAGTTGAGTACTGGTGTAATTGATACATTTGCTGTTGTTTTACACTGCACTTAGCAATATACCAGCTATTTGACAGGATCAATACTTCACGCCTCACAGGCTTGAAAACAGTGTACAAAAGCCTGTTTGTATGATACTTGAGTACTGTGTGGCCAGAATACATGCAGTGGCCACAGAGGAACAGAGATTTGTGTTGTTGTCGTTTAACAACACACTCAGAAATATTCCACTGTTGTCTATATGTTACAGTCAATGTATGAAATCAGTAAATATGTAAAATGACTTAAATTTTCACTTAGGCAATTTACAAAACACCAAAATTTTAAGTCATTTTAGAATTATTCTTCCATTTATTATGTGATGATAACAAATTCCAAATATGTTCATGCTCCATGTCATCACCCAGTGACTGAAAATGATAGGAATGAAAGAAAGAAGTCAATGCATATTTATTTTTTAATTTTGGCTTCTAATCCGATCAGAATTAGTCTATTGTGATGCTCTAAGCCATTTTGTACTTCTTAATAACTTTAAGTCAATCTGACAGGAAAATAACTGTAAAATATTTTGGAATTTTGTAAATTGCCAGAGGAAAATTTCAGTCAGTTCACACAGTGACTGTAACATATTCATGGCTGTGGAGTAGTGATGGACGGCAGTTCTGGGAGATGTTTGAGTAGTGTGTGTCAAGCACTTTCACACAGTGACTGTAACATATTCATGGCTGTGGAGTAGTGATGACGGCAGTTCTGGGAGATGTTTGGGTAGTGTGTGTCAAGCACTTTCACACAGTGACTGTAACATATTCATGGCTGTGGAGTAGTGATGATGGCAGTTCTGGGAGATGTTTGGGTAGTGTGTGTCAAGCACTTTCACACAGTTACTGTAACATATTCATGGCTGTGGAGTAGTGATGACGGCAGTTCTGGGAGATGTTTGGGTAGTGTGTGTCAAGCACTTTCACACAGTTACTGTAACATATTCATGGCTGTGGAGTAGTGATGACGGCAGTTCTGGGAGATGTTTGGGTAGTGTGTGTCAAGCACTTTCACACAGTTACTGTAACATATTCATGGCTGTGGAGTAGTGATGACGGCAGTTCTGGGAGATGTTTGGGTAGTGTGTGTCAAGCACTTTCACACAGTGACTGTAACATATTCATGGCTGTGGAGTAGTGATGACGGCAGTTCTGGGAGATGTTTGGGTAGTGTGTGTCAAGCACTTTCACACAGTTACTGTAACATATTCATGGCTGTGGAGTAGTGATGACGGCAGTTCTGGGAGATCTGGGAGATGTTTGAGTGTTGTGTGTCAAGCACTGACCTGTCCGTCTGGGCCCTCCACCTTCTTCTCCAACACATGCTTGTAGTCCTCAGCCTCCAGACTCTCCTCAACACAGAAACACAACATTTAGGCATTAGTCCAGCAAAGCATGAAATGTTTACTGAAAACATTGACTTGGCATGCTATGTAGTGAGTAAACTGGGTTCATCCCCATAATAAAGACTATTTCAGTTAAATCAGTGTGTGACATCTTCATCATGTTCATGAGGGCAGACAGACAGAAAGATGTTTTAGTGTAGCTGCCGGGTTCAGCCAAGGAAAGGGTTATGAGTCATACACAAATTTGGATGTCGAACCGTTACCAATAGATCCTGGCTGGCTAAATGATGCAAATCTGTATGGCAAATTGCAGCACATTAGATCATGTTAGATTGTTGGGCTAACAATGTTCCACCCCCTTACCATATTATACTATCATCATTACAACTATTATAATATATTATTCTTATTCTTATTCTTATTATAAATGTTATTATCATTATTGACTGTATTTGAAACATTGCAGCTGTTTTGTTATAAAGTTTACAGTTGGATTCAGAGTATTGGAGAAAAAATATAATTCCCTAAAAATCACCCTAATTTTAACTTGTTCCCTTGGAAACACAAAAAATAGATACACCATGCTCTGTAGCTCACCTGGTTTCAAAGATATAATGACAGCCATGTCTAAAATCTAAATCAGAATAATGGGAGCAGTTTTTCAGAAGCAACATACCAGGGCTCATTCATACAGTTTCAGCTAAAATGGCCTTGTAGTTTCAGACGTGATAAGCAATGCAGCACCACAAGAAAATGAGTGAGTGAGTGAGTGAGTATGTTTTTACGCCGTTTTTAGCAATATTCCAGCAATATCACGGCGGGGAACACCACAAATGGGCTTCACACATTGTACCCATGTCGGGAATCGAACCCGGGTCTTCGGCGTGACAGGCGAACGCTTTAACCACAAGGCTACCCGACCGCCCCCACAAGAAAATGAAGTGGAATGGGGAATAACATATGTTTAAGATACATGATATTCTACATACCACATGCTCACTGCACATCAAATTTCATGATGATACCTACATTAAAATGGCTGAGCTACATCAACGTTTCACTGAACATGATGGATGTCCTCACATAACTTATGTTGAGTCCTCCTCCACCACCCTGCCCCACCCCAGAAGAAAAATTGTTTGTCAAACCAAATATTTCCTCTTAAATGAGAATATTAACTTGTCACAACGCCAAATGTCATCCTTGTTTTCATTGCAGTTTCTGAGACAACATGTCCGATTTAGGGGTAGCCTGTCCTCTATCGTGTCACTGGTGACATTTCTGCTTTATTCCAAACTGACCGACTGTCTGGTAGGAAACTTCAGCACTTACTACTGTATTTATGTTGACAGTCAGTGTAGATTTACCACATAAAAAACACATGTGTTTACTGCAAATCACTACTGAATTTCCTTCTGAGTCATGTTAACATTGCCTGTTTATCAGCTTCCATGTTTACAAATACTAAAAGTGTGGGACTGGTTCATCCTGGGGAGCAGATCAAGCGTGGTAAGGGTGACAATCAATCAGGTATTTTCAGGTTGTTCAGCTAGTGTGCTTGACTTGCCGACCTGTGAAAATAAAGTGCCGGGCACGTGGGAAATATACTTTAGTTGCCCTTGGGCAAGTACGGAAATCGGTGGTTTGAACATAGAAATTTAGAAGATGCATTGTGTGTTTTTCAACGGCATATAAAGTACTTGGCTTGTTATTTTTCTTTTCTGCACAACACCCAGGACCTGATGCTTTAGTTAATGAAGTTTTGCTGCTAAAATTATAAACGCCTTCTTTTCTCTGATATAGCAGGTTAAGTTGAAAATCAGGCCGGCCAAGTAGAATGTTTAAGTAGGAAATTGCGTTATTTGAACCAGGGATCCGAAAATATTTTTAGTCCGGCGCACAGACTAATTCCTGGATCCCTGATTTGAACCCCCCTGGTGCAGTGAGTGAGTGAGTTGGGTTTTACGCCACTTTTAACAGTATTCTAGTTATATCACGGCGTGTCAGCTTAATGTGGGAAGAAAGCCTGAAGTGATGCAGGTCTCAGACGTTTACCACTTTGGTGAAACCCACGAGCACGGGTATGGTACTGACAAACCTAGAAACATAATCGGGCGAACCAGGTTTCGAACCAACAATCATAGGTCCAAGGGACGCAACTCTGCACAGCGAATCGCGGCGCCTTAGACGACTGGGCCACCCGTGCCCCCCCCCCCCCCCCCCCCCCCCCCCCCGGTGCAGATGGTACATGTATGTTGAACATGGATGTATAAAAGTGGTCATAATACACCTCTTCCTTCGATTGCAAAGGTCAGCTAGTATGTGAAAATATTGGTCAAAAGGTGTGTGTTTAATCTCATTTTTGCAAACTGTGTTTCAGACATCAGGACTGGCCCAATATTTCTAGTTTCTGGTGGTCCTTACCTTACAGTACTTAACATGCTGAAGAATTATACCATAGACAGGAAATACGCTGCAAATGTGAGAACCACTGACACATGATCTTGATAATATTATATGATATATAATAATGGTTATTATATCATGATGTGTCATCTACATATATATATTACATCGTTTATCTTGTTATTCAATGTATCACAGATTCTTTTGATTCAGCTTACTAATCAGCCTTATCTATGCAGGCATATAAATGATAATCACAAAACATCAAGCTATCTAAAACTAATGATTTATTGAACTTACATAAATTCTGACATATAAGCTGACAAGTAGGTTACTAGTTTACCCAGCTACCGTGCCAGTTTCAGTGTACACTAGCAACAGGTGTCTCGCTTATCTACCTCCAGCATAATCCTGCCGATAAATCTACACGGCTGAGACCATTTACAGTAGGACCACTACAGTGGATAGCCAGAGCAACAGATAAGCTGCGTATTTTGCGTAAAATACTCCCCAAATATTTCAAAACCCAATTACTTTCAACTATCTGTGTATAAAAACAGCACTAGTAAATACTCTATGAAGCTTTTTCAGCATGTGTACAACAGAGCTAATTTCCAAAACACAATTATGAGCTTATTTACTTTCCAAGTCAAGCCTATATAAATTTAGAACAGCTTTATAAATCTAAAACATTATTTCATGTTTTTTTAAATCTTAATATGTTCACTTATTTGAGGACCGAATAGAGTGATGAATAGATGAGTGTAAAAATATTGGTTACCCGATGACAAATGTTAACCCAATTAAAATAGAAACCCAAGAGTAAAAACTCAATTACTCAAAAAGTTATCTGGAGCTCTGGATGGCTTTCTATAGTATAGCAGCAAACTTATTCCTTATAACAAACAGTTGATGATGATTGTCATAGAAGATGAGAAATAACAGGCCTTAGTGCATAGTCAGTATTCATAAATAGTATTTAGCAGTATGTGTATATATATATATATAAAATATCTGCCAAAAACGTTCTTAGTCGGGCAGTTAATGGAAGGCCTCGGGCTTCTGCAAATGATAATGCCCTGAAGAATAGCGTTACCGTTATTATAGCGAAAATGGATAGAATTTGTTAACGAATAAAAATCAATTTTAGCTATAATGCTATATAGGCAAGGATCAATCTAGGAACTTATATTAATTGGGAAAAATCAATATTTCACAGGTATTTTAACATTGCATGCACCACAAATCAGGTCCCAAATCTTGTATCTCTCTTTATTGGTCCTGATATGGTCTAACACCACTTTGAACAGCATTTCAGTTACAAATGACACAAAGAAAATATTCAAATTCGATCCTTTCCTTTTGGAAGATTTGTGAAATGTGGGAGAAATGTTAAACAGTTTATTTGATAAGAAAGCCACGCACTGGAGTAGCAGTGAAGCTAAAAATAGTACATGTATTCATGGTATTTGTGCAACAATTACTGGTCATTGAGCACTATCAGTGTCTTACTTAGGCAGGGTAGTGTGCAGCTCCTTACAACACAACTCCCACCCCGTCAGCCAAATCACCACCCCCGCACCACCCCCGGCAGCACACTCCGCAAGCTAATGCACAACCAGCATGAGGTGACATAATTCCCCATCATAAACCACTCATGACATTACCATACTGCAACCTATCACAATGTAGCATTACCATATAGACAATATGATAAATAGTCCATTCATATCCAGAATACAGCAGCTCCATCATTAAGACTGAATATCATAAATATAGATCATGCATAATAACGGCGCTCTTGTGTCAACTTTCCGTCACTTGATACACCGACTGCTAAATGAGCCTCCTGGCTGCAAGCAGCGCAGGACTCCTTCAAGAGACATTGCAGTGGTGACACCAATACAGTCGAGGTTATTACACACTATGTCCATAGTGTCCATGGGGACTCCTTCAAGAGACATTGCAGTGGTGACACCAATACAGTCGAGGTTATTACACATTATGTCCATAGTGTCCATAGGGACTCCTTCAAGAGACATTGCAGTGGTGACACCAATACAGTCGAGGTTATTACACACTATGTCCATAGTGTCAATAGGGACTCCTTCAAGAGACATTGCAGTGGTGACACCAATACAGTCAAGGTTATTACACACTATGTCCATAGTGTCCATAGGGACTCCTTCAAGAGACATTGCAGTGGTGACACCAATACAGTCGAGGTTATTACACACTATGTCCATAGTGTCCATAGGGACTCCTTCAAGAGACATTGCAGTGGTGACACCAATACAGTCGAGGTTATTACACACTATGTCCATAGTGTCCATAGGGACTCCTTCAAGAGACATTGCAGTGGTGACACCAATACAGTCGAGGTTATTACACACTATGTCCATAGTGTCCATAGGGACTCCTTCAAGAGACATTGCAGTGGTGACACCAATACAGTCAAGGTTATTACACATTATGTCCATAGTGTCCATAGGGACTCCTTCAAGAGACATTGCAGTGGTGACACCAATACAGTCGAGGTTATTACACACTATGTCCATAGTGTCCATAGGGACTCCTTCAAGAGACATTGCAGCGGTGAC